GGTTGCTGCTGGTTCGTGGGTCTGGAGTTTTGCAGTCCTAGCTGCAGCAGCCTCACTGGTGTGGCCCCTGAGAATGGCATTCCTGCCTGGCCCCAAGGCAGCACAGTGTCCCGTGGCTAGAGGGGGTGTGTGCCTTCTGCGCCTATGGGGTCTGTCATAAAAGCCACCAAGCTTTAGCACCAGGAGCCCTACCCGAAGGGTCCAGCCTGACCCAGTCATTTCCTGAGGGCCCACCTTCAGAACAGCACACAATCTGATCATGCTGCCTCCCTCTTAGAACCATTAACTCAAGACTTTTGGGACACTCAGCCTCCAAACTCATATGGGGGCCTGAGTCTTAACTATGAGGGCTGGCAAAGGCTCAACAGGAAATCAAGCAACCAAGGCAAATAGTTAACTTCCCATTTAAAAAGAATTTAGTATTTACAAAAAGACTTGCAAAAATGAGACAAAGATTTCCCGTATGCCCTTCATTCAGGGTCCCTAAATGCTAACACGCCACATTTCAATATCAAAATAAGGAAATCAGCACTGATACAAGATTGCTGCCTAATCCATCGCCCTCTTCAAACATCACTGATGGTCCCATTAGCACAATTTCTGGCCAAGGGTCCAAGCTGAGATCAACACCTCTGACTGTTCTGTCCCACTGCCTAGCCTCCTCCAGCCCAGTAGCCACCCTTCACCTCTACCACACTCTTGCAGGGGATGGAGAAAACAAGCGCAGGACAGCCTGCAGAGGTGTGGGTCTCCCTGTGCAATCCAAGTCATGCATCGTTGGTGAAATGCACAAAAGCAACGTTGTGCCTCTCTCACGGGGTCATCAGGGGCAGTACACTGGCCCGTTTCTGATGCCCTCAGCTTTATCGTTGCTTAAGGCGCTGCCTTTTTAAGTTCCTTCATTCCCTTTGTGATGAAGTATCAACACATGACATGAAGCTTTCAGACTCCGTCAGTATCTCATTGCTAATCATTCCTTCACTCACGAATTTCAGAATCCATTGATGATTCTTGCCCAAAATGATTATTACTCTGGTTCTTCCAGATCACTAAGATGAAAACAATCAAAAAGTAAAATCAATGGCTTAAGACACCTTCATGCAGGAGTTGGCAAGCTACAACCTGAAAGCCAAATTCAACCTGTTTTTAATAAGTAAGTTTTTTTTTTTTTTTTTTAAGCAGAAACACGCCTATTCATTTGCGTGTCATCTACGGTTGATTTCACATTCAATGGCATGGTTGGATAGTTCCAACACACATAATATGGCTCACAAAGCCTGAACTATTATATGGACCTTCATAGAAATTTTCCAACCTCTGCTGCAGAGGAAATAGTACATTCATAAAATGGGTACAAATGTTTTAGAAAACCAAATACTAGAAAACAAAAACAGAGTTCTTATGAAATAAAACCAGCTCATCAAAATAGAACATTCAACAGAAGGACTGGAGGACAAAGTTGAGGCAGTGTTCCAGAAGGAGGAACAAATGACGCATAGAAAAACTGAGGCGGAAAAATAAGAGACTTGAGAGGATCAATCCAGGAAGAATCGCAGCTCATTAAGAAACACGATAGAAAACGACAACAGAGAAAGTACTTCTAGACTACAACAGAATTGAGGCACACAATTTTTAGACTAAAATGACCCATAATGAGATGGGCACTTGGAGCAATGGTTAAGACTCCACTTGGCACTTTGACCATGACCTTGTCTAAACAAGATAAGAGTCGGAGAACTCAAGGGGCTTCCATAGCCTTGGAAACTCATGACTGGAGCATAGGAAGATTACTGAGGCCATAAACAGGAGTGTCAATTGGTAAAGTCAACAACAGGAGTCACTGTGCACTTACTCCTCATGTAGGATCTCTGTCCTTAATGTGCTGTACATTGAGATTTAATGCTATAACGAGTACTCAAACAGTATATTTCACTTTGTGTTTCTATGGGGGTGCAAACTGTTGAAATCTTTACTTAATGTATACTAAACTGATCTTCTGTTAAAAAAAAAAAAAAGAAATTATCAATTCCCAACTTGACTCTCACTGGGATTAAACATGACAATAGGTCTGATCTGATTTCATCATCATTTAAAAAATCATCTATTATTTTTCACTTTATGTTTCTGTGTGGGAGCAAACTGTTGAAATCCTTAATTAATGTATGCTAAACTGATCTTCTGTATATTAAGAGAATCGAAAATGAATCTTGATGTGAATGGAAGGGGAGAGGGAGTGGGAAAGGGGAGGGTTGCGGGTGGGAGGGACGGTATGGGGGGGAAGCCATTGTAATCCATAAGTCGTACTTTGGAAATTTATATTCATTAAATAAAAGTTAAAAAAAAGAAGAATACATTAATACAAAAAAAAAAAAAAGACTCCACTTGGGCCAGCGCCGCGGCTCACTAGGCTAATCCTCCGCCTTGCGGCGCCGGCACACCGGGTTCTAGTCCCGGTCGGGTGCCAGATTCTGTCCCAGTTGCCCCTCTTCCAGGCCAGCTCTCTGCTGTGGCCAGGGAGTGCAGTGAAGGATGGCCCAAGTGCTTGGGCCCTGCACCCCATGGGAGACCAGGATAAGTACCTGGCTCCTGGCTTCAGATCAGCTCAGTGTGCCGGCTGCAGAGCGCCAGCCGCGGCAGCCATTGGAGGGTGAACCAACGGCAAAAGGAAGACCTTTCTCTCTGTCTCTCTCTCTCACTGTCCACTCTGCCTGTCAAAAAAAAAAAAAAAAAACAAAACAAAACAAAAAAACTCCACTTGGGACACTCACGTCTCATATGGGAATTTGAGTGCCAGCGCTGCCTCCGATTCCAGCTCCCTGCTAATGCATATCCTGTGGGATGGGAGGTGATGGCTCAAGTGGTTGGGTCCCTGCCACCCACACAGGAGGCTGGATTGAGTTCCCGGCTCCCAGTTTTGGCCTGGCTGCACCTGATGAAGGCATCAAGGGGAGTGAGCTGATGAATGGGAGCTCTTTCTCCCTGCCTCTCAAACCATTAAAATAAATTAAAAAAAAAAAAATAAAATGACCAGTAATGAGTTCAAAGACCAACTTCAAGATACATCGTCTTTAAATTTCAAGATACCTGAAAATTCTAAAAGCTTCCAAGGCAGTCCACACGGAGCCTGGGTGGGGAAACTTTTTCCTGCTAAGGGCCATCTGGATTTAAAACATCATTTGTGGGGCTTACAGAATTATCAGCTTAAAAATTAGCCTGCTATAGGTTTTCTGATTTTCAAGCTCTGCCTCTGGTTGCCTTGGCAGAGCCAGACCACATGGCTTCATGGGCCTTGAACAGCCCACCAGCCCACGGCAGAACGCTCCCCACCCTGACACAGAAGCCGCAAGAGCACACTGGCATTATGTGCACTGACAACAACGCTAGCAGAGCAGATGCTAACTTCTAAAAAGTCTTCCGTGTTCCAAGAGAAAATACCTTTCTTCCTATCATTTGGCACCCCAATTAAACTATCATCAGACATTTTCAGAAATTCGTGGGTTCAAATGCATTTCCTGTGCCACCTTCCTTAGAAAGTCATGGAGAATGTGTACCAATGAAAAAAGGATATCAATCAAGGAAAAAGAAGCCAGGATTCCAAAAACAAACAAAAAAGCACAGAAGATGGACCAGGGCCACTCCAGGATGAGGTGGGAGCCAGAGTTTAAAAGCAGGGGGAGAGTTTCAAGAACCAAACATCCTGGAAGGGGAGAAGGTAGAATGCACAGACCCACTGATGTGTTTCGACATCTTCAGGAATATGGGGGTAAACATGAGAAAACCACTTTGGGAAGCTATTATCCAGACACAGAAAAGGGTGCGTGGGGGCAAGGCAGGGGTGTGCCGGCGCCACTCGGCTGTGTGAGGCGCACACTGGCATTGATGAGATGCTGAGAATCACCCTGGCCCTATGACCCGTTTCCCTCCACCACCTGGACAAGTTCTCTCCAAAGGTGAGCTCAGACACTACGTGCCATGTGCCTGGCTCCCACACTCCCCTGCCTCTGCTGCTCTCCCAGAGCAGCAGGGATAGTCCTTGTACCAGCTGCCACCGGTTCAACAAGCGGCTGATGAGTGTTGATACTGGGCCTGGCGTCCTGTTGGGTGCTGGGGAGTATGCAGCGAGCAAGAATCAGTCCCTGCTCTTCCGAATAGCAGGCTCCAGGAACGGCAGCTGTGAGGCACAGACTGGACTCCAGGACTGACACGTGTCATCACAAAAGCTTTCCCACTGTATTGCCATCGCGGAAGCGCCTTCTGCCCGATTCCATCAGGACTAGTGTCTGCCTCCAGCGTTCTCGGGATATGAGTCCCTGGACAACGTAACCTGGAGAGCCCAGAAGCTCTAGACACACTGTCTAGTAAGCAACACCCGGCTCCACCGGGCCTTCTGCCTCTCACAGGTGCATGGCTTCACCCAGCGCCGCCTCTGCACGGGCAGGGTGGGCACGCGATATCCCCTCTCGGGAGATACTGGGAAACAACATGGCCCTGTGCTTGCAGTGTCTCATCCAGATTTCAAACGTCTGTCTTCCCAAGGGCTCTGGTCCAGGGTGGAGAGGTCGCAAGGGCTGCATGACGATGTCAGCAGCAAGAATTCTGTTTACTCGCCGAATTCTGAGGGCGAGAAGCTAGTACTGGATCCAGATTGCTACTGCTGCCCTCAAGGTCTTTCTCCTACACTCTCACACACTCACTCACTGTCGTACACACATCTCAAAAGAGAAACCCGGCCGGCAGCTCCACAGGAGGAGAAAGATCCAGAGAGGAGGGAGGTCTGCTCACACGCGCCTGGGCAGGAGACACAGGAATGACGCTGACAGTCTCCTGAGAACAACTTTTTAAGTGGAAGAAAAAATACTTAAGGTGAACATACCAATATGTTTAGATACATGCCATCCTGATATGAATGCCAGACATGTGCCAATTTTTACAAACATTTCCACAGAGGAAGTATTCAGTAATCTGTCTACCCCCACCCGCTAATGTATGCGGGGCCTTACTTGTATTGCGCTGTGCCTCGCTCTTTTAAGTTACAATAATTTCTTCAGAGGATTTCCTCGAGAGCCAGGCCACTTCTCTACTCCACGCTGCTTCGTTAAACAGTAACGTAGCTGCTGAATGCTGAGAACACACGCTGTGTAATCCCAAGTTCACATGTGAAGTTCATATGCAAGAATGTCTTCTCTCTGGGCTCCTCACCAATCAGGGAAGAGAGAGCCTGGCCTGCACAGCACCACACAGAGATCGCGCTGACGGCATGCTCAGGAGACTGACTGAGGGCAGAAAAGAAATATTTTTTTCCTTTTCGTCTCATATAAATTTTTATTAGAATGTGCTGTTTTCTTTTTTTTTTGTTTTTGTTTTTGTTTTTGTTTTTTTGACGGGCAGAGTAGACAGTGAGAGAGAGAGAGACAGAGAGAAAGGTCTTCCTTTTGCCGTTGGTTCACCCTCCAATGGCTGCGTGGCTGGCGCGCTGCGGCCGGCGCATCGCGCTGATCCGATGGCAGGAGCCAGGTGCTTCTCCTGGTCTCCCATGGGGTGCAGGGCCCAAGCACGTGGGCCATCCTCCACTGCACTCCCTGGCCACAGCAGAGAGCTGGCCTGGAAGAGGGGCAACCCTGGCCACAGCAGAGAGCTGGCCTGGAAGAGGGGCAACCGGGACAGAATCCGGCATCCCGACCGGGACTAGAACCTGGTGTGCTGGCTCCGCAAGGCGGAGGATTAGCCTAGTGAGCTGTGGAGCCGGCCATGTTTTCCTCTTTTTAAACTTAATCCCCTAAACACTAATTTTAAAGTGACCCATAAATCATAATTTCTAATGTGAAATAGGAAGGCACCAAAAAGACTACTACGGAAAGGCTTTATTTGAACTTCCAACCCCAAGAACAAAGCGAGTAAGTCAAAAAGAAACAGTTAACTAGCAACACTTCTTTGCCAACGACTATTCACGTTCAGTACTTCGTCCCAAACCAGTGGTTCACTTTCGCCACGGTGAGCTGAAGGACCAGGCTGACGAGGAAGTACTCCTCGGTCTCCTGCATCCACACCAGCTCCGCGTGCACTGCTCCCTCCACGTCCGCGTAGTCCACGTAGAATGTCTGGCCCAAGAAGTTGGGGCCATCCGAGAGGCTGGCGGCAGATCGCACGCAGACGGGGGAACTCAAGCACCAGAAAGGCTTCCCGTATTCGTCTAGAAGAGTCACGTCCATTATAGAGCAGCTCTGCGAGACAAGCAAAGATTTGTCAGTGTGATGCCGCACAGACCCGATCGCCACAGAAACTGGCTGCACGTGCTGTGCGCGTCACCGAATCCGGAACACTGTCACGGTCGTGTGTGGTCGACAACCAGCATTTACCGTCCCGTGGTCAACAGTCACACTCGAACACACGTGAGGCCTGTGGCACGCTCAGCATGGCACAGCACTTGGTGCTGGAGCCTCGGAGAAATGGAAATTTCAGTCCACAGGCAGCTGACGCTACGTCTGTCACACAAAGGACAGCACGTGCTGCCTGCAAACGGGACACGTCACACTGCCCTGGAAAGCCACGCTGCTGCCACAGATACCTCCCACCCTCTGTGGCGCTGACTTTCCACCTCTCCCACCCCTGCTCCTCCCCGGGTTCCTCACACACCAGCAGCTTGCTCAGTCCCCCTCGTTCCAAGATCAACCAAGCCCACTGTCTGTCTCTCTCTGTCTCTCCCGTTTGCTCCCTCACTCCCATGTCTCTCCGTCATCGTGAGTGAGCAGATACTTTGGGTACCCAGGGGAGCGATCAATGCCCTTGGCCCCTCAATCCTAGGCTGTGCAGCCCTGAGATCCCCTCTCCAACTTCAGCTCAGTCACTCGCTCCCACAGCTAGTCCTCCACACGTCACCTCCCATCAACGCTCTGCTTGCAAAATCAACACCAGAAGCATCGCTTTCTAAACACATCTCATCTTCCAGCTTCATTCTCTACTCCCTCTGCAACTGCACTGCCACCAAATCCCAGTGCTGCCGGAGCAAAGCCACAACCTCTGAGTGCATCCTGACCTAAATTCCATGGGGCATAACCTTACGACAAAATGTGACAGAACCAGACAAAACAGAACACAATCCCCATGCACCGCACACTGTGTGCATAAACAGAGTCCTGGGAACTTTGGTGTGAACTACACGTGGGTCTGTCCGTTCACACGCATGGATCTGCAGTGGGAAGCATGGACAGGTCTGACCAGCACTGACCACGCACCCACGCCCACCAGCCTGCCCTGCAAGCATCCTGGCTGAGGCCGCTTCCCACCCGCTCTGGACTCCCTCGTCCTTCACTGCACTGATACCCTCGCCAGGGCACAGACCCCCTGGCCCCTCCCTCAGAACCCCAGCCCTGACGCAGCCATCATTTCCCACCTCCTCCTGCACAGAGCTCTCGTGCACTGCTGGAGAATCCCACACAGCTGCCAGCTCTGCCAAGAGTCCCCAGTCATCCCCAGTGTCACCTGTTGGTCCTGTTTTACTTGTGGGGGGCCCACCCGGGGGGGCCCACCCTCCTCCCCAGCGAACCAGTCTCCCAAACCCTGACCCCTCCCTTGACCCTCTGCATCCTTCCCATGGGCTGCCCTGGGCGATGGTGCCACCTGTCACAGAGAAAGGTGAAAAGGCACTTCCTCATCTCCCCAGTGCCAGATGCCACGCAGTCTGCTCCAGGTACTCGGACGGGTACACTGCTCTCAGCCACTTTAACCAGTCCTCGGGTCCAGCCCAGCAGCCTGCGCTGTGGCTCATCTAGATGTGCCCTTCTCTCTCTCCCTCAAGTGGATACCGCCCGCTCCCATCAGCTAGTAACCCACAAACACGTCCAAGGAACTCGCATCCTGTAGAGACAGAGGGAAATAACCTCCGCGGACCCCGCGGCGGCTTTGCTCTCCAGCCGGCTGCCTCCACCTGACCTGTCCACTTCCGGAACTCCCACTCACTCCCCGGTCCATTCCAATCTATCATTCACCCACACCATCTCAGCACAGAGCCACGACGTCGAGGGGACATCTGAGTCTCCACCCCAGCAGCATTCTGAACTATGTACGATTCTGGTCTTGGAACGCTCTCTCTGCACATGACTCCAGATCCACCTCTCCGCAGCTTCCCACCAATCCCCAGTGCAGGGCTTCTCACAGCTCGGGCCCAAGCCCTATTTCCCCTATGCATAATCTCTCTCTAAAATGGAATTCATCTACAACCACAGTTAAAGAGACAACCAACACAGGGCCAGCACTGTGGCACAGCAGGTTAAGCCACCACCTGCAGTGCCAGCATCCTACACAGCACCGCGTCAAGTCCCGGCTGCTCCACTTCTGATCCAGCTACCTGTTAATGCACCTGGGAATTAACAGGAGTGGAGGATGGCCCAAGTGCTTGGACCCCTGCACCCACATGGGGGACCCAGAGGAGGCTCCTTGTTCCTGGTTTTAGATTGGCCCAGCTCCAGCCATTACGGCCATTTGGGGAGTGAACCAGCAGATGGAAGATCTCAAAATAAATAAATAACCAACATGGCTGTGATTTTCAAAAGTACATCTCCGCATCTCCAAGCAGAACCTTTTTCTAAGCCCCAGATCTCTCAAATTCAGCACAACTGTATGCAAACCTGTGATCATCCAAGAATTCTCCCAGTGCTCATCTCAGGGACTGGGGAACCATCACTGACAGGCCAGCTGGGCAAGCCTGAAGCCTGGACACCACCCTAGACATCGCCTACCTGACCCTCTACACCCAATCTGTCACCAAATCCTGCTGGCGTCTAACCTCCCAACTGCCCTCAAATAGTCTCACCCTCCCCACCTCCAAGTCACTCCCTCGCAGCTCCACGGTCCGAATGTCTGTCCACACCTAAGTTCATGGGTTTATCCTCATGCCCAGCGTGATGTAGTAGGAGGCTGGGCTCTGGGAGATCAGGTTGGGAAGACCAGGCCCACAGGACCGGGATCACTGCCCTTACAAGAGAGGCCCCAGGGAGCTGCCTCGCCCCTTCTGCATGTGAGAAGTGCCACCTACAAAGCAGGCAGAGGGCCCTCACCAGACCCTGCATCCGCTGGTGCCTTGCTCGGGGACTTCCCAGCCTGCAGAACCCTGAGAAATAAACCTGTTTTCTAAGAGTGGCCCAGCCTACAGCATTTGTATACGAAGACACAAAGTTACCATTCTTTTCTTTAAGGAATCACAACAGCAGCCTCCAAGTCTCCCCTCATTCATTCTCATTCATTCTCCACATTCCAAAGATGAGTCATGACAAAATGCAAGTCATCCCAGGTGAAAACCCAGTGAGGGCTTCAACAAAAGGACCCAATTCCCTCCTTGCCTTTAAGGCTTGGCCAGGCCCCGCCCACCTGTCCACTCCAACTCATGCTGCTCCTGGTGCCAGCAGTGCTCCAGCCACATGGGCCTTCCTCCCACTCCCTGAACTTACCACACAGCCACGTGACAAAGGGCTGTCCAGATACCCTGTGTCCAAGAGCTCTCCTCTGCCCACCCTCTCCTGTCTACACTGGCATGCAGCTCCTCAGGGGCGTTTTCCTGGCGCTCCCATCTCAACCCACCACACACCCCAGGGGTGATGCACCTGCGCGTGTGGTGACTTGGCTGGAAGCACCTCACATGCTCCAGTCCCAGAGCTCAGTCCAGCGCTGATGAATAAGCAAACAATGATAAGTGAAGCCGTATCGTAAAGGATGAACAAGAGTTAATGAAGACATGAGGAGGGAAGGGAACAGCATGTGGCCAATGCCAGGAGCCCTGCAGTCCACAGTACCCAACCCAGCCAGGGCCAGGGAGGCCGAAGCAGGCTCAGGTCAGGGCTGCTCATTAAGACTTGCTCCAGGCACAGGATGCAATGCCAGGGAGAGAGGAGAACCTGCATATGTGGGGACGTCCTACTCTCTCCAAGACATTTGTGTTTGTGGAACTGTCGGCCTTAATCACTCCTCCCGAGTGGCTGCAGCACCTTTCTCGGGGGCACAGCCACCCACAATGCGTTGATCTCATGATACGCCCGCAGCAGAGTCTACTGAACTCTACTCATATTGCATAAAACACACCCAGAGCTCTACTAAAACATCCAGTCTAAATTAAAACTGATGCCAAACTGTACAGAGATTTAGAAATAACATTAAAATAGCATCACAAATGGTGAGGTCTGAAAGAATAAAGTAAAAGGAAGACAGAAGGAAAGCCTTACCAACAGAAAATCCATCATCAGAAATTCTGATAGGAACTGGGAGAAGACAGGTCGTGAGAGCATTTTATTTAGAATTACACTGAAGATGGCTGCAGGGCTGCCTTCCCGGGGAGCCTGGCTATTGACAATGGGCTCTGCAGTTTAACAGGGGCTGGCAACCACTGTGGAGCGACCGTCCTGCGTGGCTCCCTTACCAGCATTCAGCCACTGCAAGTGTCTTTAAAACACAGTAAATGGCAAAACCTTAAAAAAGATAAAGAAAAAGCCGACGTGCTTAGAATGTGACTATTTCTATCACGGCTGAATAAGCTGCCACACAAGCTTGGAAGCCGGTGAGGTCCTTCTCCAGGAACCTGAGCTACTGATACCTTGCACCGGAACCGCCTGCATCCCAGTCAGTGTGGGGGTCACTTTTCCTTCCAGGTATGGGGGAGGAGAGGTTGTTAAGGGAGCACTAAGGTCCAAAGGACATCAGAGACCCCCATCCTGACCATAGGTGGCTTCCAACAAAGCAGTGTGACAAGGCGGCATTCTCTGGCACCACCACTGTTTCAAGCTCTGTCCGTGTGAGCAGAAGGGTCAGGCTTGGTGGCTCCGTCTAGCCCTCACTGCAGGGGCACTTTGAGACAGGCCATCAGCATGCTCCTCACCAGGCTTCTCTCCACAGTTCCTAGGAGAGGCAGGGTTTTTATTTTATTTTGCTTAAACAAATACATGGACTTGAGAAACTTTTTTTCTACCATCTGCCCCTGCCTCAAAAAAGTTCACTCCTTTAAGATAACCTTTTACAATCCCTTTTATCACATCACCGTGGTCGGAGTGATCAGAGGGCTGGAGGGAAGTTTGCGATCTGCGGGAACACGGCTTCACTCCCTGACTGCTGTCCCTGGGAACTGTAACGACAGGTCAGTCTTCCCACTGAACCAACAGTGTAAAGGGAAAATGCAAACTGACCACTCACCCCTCTAGGCCCCAGAGAGAGGGCAAGGCTTTGGATCAGCTCTCTGTCTTCTCCCCAAGCTGAGGGAAGGAATTTACATGCAAAACTGTCCAGGACTACACAAGCTACTCCCGAATCTAAGGACAGAAAACCTTGTCCTCGCAGTATGCTAGTTTGCCAGAAGCCTGTGTATCTGAGTCGTCTGGCTTGGCAATCTCCAGAATCGCAGCGTGCAACGTGTGTGAAGGCCCAGTCTGAAAACCATACCCTCAGCTTCTGTGAGAACTGCTCTAGGAAACCTGTTAGCTCACCTCCGGCTAAAACATGGAGTAAGGGGCCAGCGCTGTGGCACAGTGTGCTAAGCCTCCACCTGCAGCACCAGCATCCCAAACGGACACCGGTTCAAGTCCCAGCTGCTCTTCTGATCCAGCTCTCTGCTGTGGCCTGGGAAAGCAGTAGAAGATGGCCCAAGTGCTTGGGCTCCTGCACCCGCGTGGGAGACCCAGAAGAAGCTCCTGGCTCCTGGCTTCAGATGGCCCAGCTCCAGCTGTTGCAGCCATTTGGGGAGTGAACCGGCAGATGGAAGATTTTCCTCTATGTCTGTCTTTAACTCTCTCTGTAACTTTACCTCTCAAATAAATAAATATTAAAAAAACAAACACGGTCTAGGATTATCCCTTTAGTAGCTTAGTCGGTCTTACATAAAATTCCATTTTGTTTTTCCATAAAATTTTAACAAAATTCTGTTTTGTATTTAATAATCAGCTGGGATGAAGCATTGTCTCACAGTGAAATGACTCTACTTCCATTTTCTTCCCCAGTGAGAACTAAACGACTGCTTTTATCTTGCTCTAAGCTATCAGGAAACACAACAAATTATTATTTTTTAATTATGTTGACCCTTTTTAAGCTTGTACTCTACCTTAAGGTCAACTTTTATTTTAATGTTTTGTATCTATTTTTACTATAGGTTTCTAAATATATCAAAAATAAAGAAGTTAAATCTGTATTCTTAAAGACATGAAACAATATTCTTTCGTGTGTGATAAACTTGATGTTTACCAAAGTTTAAACATTTACATAACAATATCGGTACTGGCCAATATTTATTTTATCAAATATCACACTGTTCAAAAGATAATGTTCTGTGAAAATACTGGTCTCAGTCTCAGTCACCATGAGTAAGAGTTCTAACAAAGGTCACCACCTCAGTCACCAGGAGTAACAGTTCTACTAAAGGGACCCACACACACAGGGCAAAATGAAGCCATGGTACAGGAGGCCCTCCAGAGGCACAGGGCATCAACGCCTGGCCCCTGTGCCTGACCGTCCTGCTCATCCTACAGAATAAAGATGGAGAGTGAGGACAGCCAGGGTAAGCCGGGCACAAGACTCTCAGAAGAAAGCAACACGAGGAGAGAGCACTTCTCCTCCTCCTCTTTCCGCCTGCCCATTCCTAGCCCACTGCAGCTCTCCTATCCACGTGGCTAACTCTTAACTGTTCAAGGAAATAGCTGCATCCCGAAACCAGAACTTCTAACTCAATACAGTTAGAAGTGGTGTACAGTGGATGTTTTGAGGAAATGCTACTTGCCTAGTCCAACATTCAGCTCCACTCTGTCCAGAAAAACAGAGGGGGCTTTGAGGGAACACAGACTGCAGTGAACACATTCCAGACACTTCCTTAGAGACCACCCACCCCTCCTATTTCACCTCCCTCAGTGAAAAACAAAAGGTAAGCACCTGATGAATAAATCAGCTGAATGTGCTCAAATCTTCAGAAACCAGAATAAGAAATCCAAGACTTTATAGGAGGCACCATATATATATATATATATAAACACACACACACACACCCCTCACACAGCCTTCTTTTGTTACATAGAAACTTGAAAGAAAGAAAATAACTTTTCTCACCTTTATAAAGCCATAAAATATATTAGTTCTCCAAGTAAGGCCAATTTTTCCAACAAGAGGTAGGTGTTCTCTGTTATTTGTAACATTTATAACAATGAGCTTGATGTGTCCATTTTCAATGTGTTCTGAAAAGATTTAAGATTAAGCTCTGTTAATGACCACACACCATGCAGAACAACACAACAGCGTGGCTGTACCACAAAGGGGGTCTAATCCTGCTGAGGTCAGAGAATAACACGGGCAACAGCTCATCTCGGCCTCCTGCTCAAGGCCAGAGTGGTCTCTCGGTGACAGAAAAAGAGGGGGTATTCCCGCAAAGCGATGTCAAAGGTGAGTAAGCTGGCCAGAGTGAACTGGACACCTACTCTCTCACTAATGGTAAGACCATGAGAAAACACAAGTTCCTCTGACTGGGGTAAGCCAACAGCAGTAGAAATGGAATATCAGAACTAAGGACCTAAGAAAGCACACGCAGAAATGTCAACAAAAGGAAATCAGGCATCAGAGAGCAACGAGAGAGCTGAGAAACCGGGGACTGGAGAGCAGGTGCACAGGAGGAGGTAAGGGAAAAAGCCCAAACTGAACACCTTGCCTGTGCTTACAGATGGGTAAAAGAGGGGTCCACACTGTGGCACAGCGGGTCAAGCTGCTGCCTGCAATGCCAGCATCCCCTATGTGTGCCAGTTGGAGTCCCGGCTGCTCCACTTCTGATCCAGCTCCTTGCTAATATGCCTGAGAAAGCCGCGGAAGATGGCCCAAGTGCTTGGGCCCCTGCACCCACATGGGAGACCTGGAGGAAGTTCCTGGCTCCTGGCTTCAGTCTGGCCCTGCCCTGGATATTGTGGCCATTTGGGGAATGAAACAGCAGATAGAAGATACTCTCTCTCTCCCTCTCCCTCTCCCACTCCCTCTCCCTCCCTCTCTCCCTCTCTAACTCTGCCTTTCAAATAATTAAGAATAAATCTTTTAAAAAAAAAAACGGAATGAGTAAAGATCTTGCAATGCCTGTCAAACTCAAGGCCTAACCCTCATTTCACTGGTTCAGTGCTGGCTACTTGGCGCCTCACACTCTGAGAAGCCTGCACCACCCAAGCAGCCCACACCAGGGTAGCCACGATAGCCGTATGAAACACATGCTTCTCTTCCTCTTACACTCTGATAAACGAAGCTAACTACTGGGCTTGTGACTAGGTGAGGTGTCTGTTCAAACAGATAAATAACGTCTGCTTGTGAATTCCAGAAACTGGCCTTGGGAGTCAGCTGAAGCTGCAAAGGACGCTAGCCCTCCCCTGTCAGCATGACCAGAGGACAGAATTTATTGTAAGGGAAGGCAGAGGGGTGTGAACGACTAAGGGCACAACACGGACTCCAGGCCGCGGGGCCTCATTCTGGTTAATGAGACTCTTCCCGCAGGACTCCACCTCTTTCAGATTCCAGACAAGGAATGTTTGTAGCTGCTTAGTTACGCAGAACCTCCCGCTATGCTCTCCCATGATAAAGTCAAACCATCCAGCAAATTCCTCAGTGAATTCTGTTGACATCTCAGATTGATAAAATGCCGTTATCAGTTTCGGCACCTATCTACTCCTGACACGCCATTAGTCATGTCCCCAGCACACCTCAACCTCCCTTTCGCATTCCTTAAAAGCTCTGGCCACCCTCACCGGCCAGGACGACTGCAGCTTTGGAGACTCCAGTCTGGTACCTTCCTCAGGGACCACTGGATTAAACTTCCTCTTTCCTTTATCCTTAAACCTGTCCTTGTCATTTTGATGTGGCACCGCTGACAAGGACCAGACGTTCGGTAATGCCGTAAGCTTTACAGATCCCCGCTAACATGCCAGGGACAGTGACCGCCAAGGCATATCACACGCATGTAAGATTTCTTCAGAGACAGACACTTGAATAAAGGCAAGATCTAAGTCACAGGACAAGGCAGATGGGGAAAAGGGAGAACAGCAACTGTTCTCTCACCCCAGGTTGTCATATTTTCTGGGACAAAATAAAATCAAAGCTAAGTTGCCGTGGGAGACAAAGCCCTGTTCCAGACATTTTATATGGTATTCTTCAGCCTAAGCGTAGCCAACAGGTTAAAGATGATGCTTCATAAGGGGCCTCTTCGGTGATAAAATAGCGTGCGTGTAATACAGTAATTTGGTTTAAGTAAAAGACGCTCTCAGAGGCAGGCATTCGGAGCCCTGCAGGAGGGCGCGCTCAGCCTCAGTGGCTACATTTTCCAAGTCTTCCTTTTGTTCCAAGGACAGATGCAGCCCACACTCTCCTCTCTGCTGCGGAGCAATTAGCCAAAACTGTGCCGGGTCTCTCCACGCTCCCTGGGTGTAGGGATGAATGCCAAACGACACTGACCCTTCCCAGACGAGGGCCCTACTACCACCTCGGCAGGGCCCGACAAAGCAGGGAGGAAGTCTGAAAAGCAAGGCCTCCGTGGAGACTGAGTAATGACATTCTAAACAGACCAGATGTGGCTCCGCTCGGCTCTCCACTACTGCACAGCCATGTGCAAAATCAAGAGAGAACTCCATCTGGCACGGCAACGGCAGGCGTGCCTGCTGGCAGCCAACAGTGCCGCACAGAAAATTCGGAGCCCATTTTCCACACGGCCTATCTTCAGGACAGCGCTGAAAATGAACTCCAAAGTACAACAACCAGCAACATCTCAACGGCAAGTGTCTGAGCTAATGAACACGACCTTCCCACAGGAAGCAAGGACAGCCCCCCGCTTCACAAGTGTGACGCTTACAACTCAGAAGGCCAGACAGCTCTTGCCACCAACCTTCGGAACCACTGCTATCTGTAGGACACAGAAAGGCTACCTCTTCCTCCATTCACGATCTGCACATGGATTCTATGGGTGGAGGCAAGTGTGTGTATATACAACAGGCAATATTTGTGAATAAGCAGTTTAAGTGAATACTTTAAAACAGCTGGGAACAGCAGTGTGGTGTAGTGGGTAAAGCTGCTGCCTGCAGTGCCAGCATCCCATATAGGTGCCAGTTCAAGTCCCAGCTGCTCCACTTCCGATCCAGCTCTGCTTTGGCCTCGGAAATCAGTAGAAAATGCCCCAAGTCCTTGGGCCCCTGCTTCTAGCTCCTGGCTTCAGATCAGCACAGCTACGGCCATTGCAGCCATCTGGGGAGTGAACAAGCAGATGGAAGACCTCTCTCTTTCTCTCTCACTCTCTCTGCCTCTGCCTCTTCCTCTCTCTAATGCTGCCTTTCAAATAAATAAATAAAGCTTTAAGAAAAAAACCATAGCTTAGAATTAATATTTTTTAGGATTTATTTATTTATTTGAAAGTCGGAGTTACAGGGAGAGAGGGAAGTGGGGCAAGAAGGGGGGGGGAGAGAGAGAAAGAGAGAGAGAGAGAGAGAGAGAGAGAGATCTTCCACCTGGTGGTTTCTCCCCAAATGGCCACAACGGCCAGGGATGTGCAGGCTGAAGCCAGGAGCCCAGAACTCCATCTCCATCTCCCATGTGAGTGGCAGAGACCCAAGCACGTGGGCCATCCTCTGCTGCTTTCACAGGCACATTAGCAGGGAGCTGGATTGGAAGTGGGGCAGCTGGGGCTCAAACCAACACTTACATGGGATGCCAGCACTAAAGGCAGTGGCTTAACCCACAGTGCCACAATAACAGCTCCCCCAGAATAAGATGATTAATCAGGTCTAAGAGTTTCCTGATGCACAGGGAGGTTGGTGGTAACTCACCCTAGGTCCCACACTGGAAAGTGGCAGAAATGTGAGGAAACTGTGTTCTGAGGCATGGCCCGTGCTGTAGGGGGTTAAAACACATAGAAGGGGGCAGGAAATAAGCTCATCTGCCAGTCTGTATCCTAGCTGAGAATTTACAATGTGGATTCAAATTCTCAGGAAGCATTTTCATTTTTCTGCCAGCAGGGAAAACTCTATCTACATCAGCAGAAAAGATACACTGGGGAAGCACTTACAGCTCCCCAAGACCTGGGGGACGTCCTAATCTCGGAGTCCCAAGCTCGCTCTCACCCATCCCTGATCTTCCTCTTAAGCAGCTCACGAGTGACCCAGGTTCCCTCAGTGCGACAAACAGCCCTGCAATCAAAGTGAACAGTGGGGAGGGAACAGAGTAGAGAAAGCCATCTCCTGACACATGCAGCGGCAGAGGGCCCAGGCCCTTGTGCTCATGGGGCAGAACTCCCAAGTCCCCTCTTGGGCACTAGAACGGTGCTGTTTCCACAGGAGGAGCCACAAAACGTGCCTGTGCACGCACATATGAATCCTCAGCCCGGCTCTCCTGCAGCCTGTGAGCTAGCACAGCCTCTATGCAAGTCCTGTGTTCCTTCCACCATTCAGAATAATTCTGTTGGTGGAGACTCAAATCTCAACTACCATTACACACTGCCATCCCCACAGTGAGGCCAAACACTATTCAAGGTGCACCTCTTTGGCTTCCAATGACACCGCACTTATAAGAATGTTCTACAGGGGCCAGCGTTGTGGTGTAGTGGATAAAGCTGCCACCTGCGCCACTGACATCTCATATGGGTGCTGGTTTGAGATCTGACTGCTCCACTTCTGATGCAGCTCCCTGCCATGTGCCTGGGAAAGCACCAGAAGGTGATCCAAGTGCTTGGGCCCCTGCACCCATGTGGGAGACCCAGAAGACGCTCTTGGCTCCTGGCTTCGGCCTGGCTCAGCCGTGGCCATCACGCCCATTGGGGGAGTGAATCATCGATGGAAGATCAATCTCTCCCTGTGTAGCTCTTTCAAATAAATAACTAAATCTTAAAAAAAAAAAAAAAGAACGGTCTACAGAGTCAGAAAGACCCCCATTCCAACACTACCCCCCATTTTATTTACTAGCTGTGTAACCATGGTCAAGTTCCAAGGACACTAATAGAAAGCACTTTCTGAGACTGTGAGGATTAACAGCATTAGTACCTATATTAACACTACAGGGTAGCTCATTTATGCCAGGCTAGGAGCGCTACCACCTTATGTGCATTTTCTCAATATTAATAGTGTATCCAAAGATAGAGAACTAAGTCCACTGCCAAGCAGAAAGTAGAAAGGTGTCAGGTTCATGGCTTGGAAGAACCAATAACGACAGGAGGTCCATTTACTCAAGT